ATACAATTCTTACCTAGAAAGTTCTTTGGCAATACAGACAATGGAAATTTTGTGTCTAGAAGAACCAAGAAATGCTCAGCTGAGCTTGAGTGAAATTTTCCTGGGGCTTTTTGTGAGCAAAAATAAGGTGTTAATGAGTCAGTAGGTAAGCAAGGGGGATGTGGGAGGTGATCATGCATTCAAGTGCAGTACAGGGGATATATAGTAAATGTCTGAAAAAAAAATAGGTAGAGGCCATGTTTGCAGGAATTACGAGCACCACGTAAAGAGTCTAGTGTCTGTTGTATAAAATTACCATTCTTTTAACATGAATATTGAAGAAATGCCCTCTTTACTGCGACATGTCAGAATCAGGAAAGGCCATAAGAAGGCACTGGCACTGTGGTGCCATATTATCTGTGTTAGGTCTGAATAAAGGTGAATGTTGCTGTCGGCTTCAGCTCTGGCTCCCATCAGAACCTCTTAGGGTAGCTTGATACTGCTGGTACAAGGGAAAGTCTGCAGGAATGGACCTGATCAATGTCTTCTAAAGCTCTCCCAATGCTTCTGATGGGGAGCAAGTTTGAGAAGGTTTCCTTGAACTAATAGGAATGATGTTGAAGAAAGAAAGCAGCATGATTTAGTTGGGATTGCCTTGTTGATGGTTGTGCCTTTGAAGGGGATAGGTATGGATTAGCAGTCTCTTGTGGGTTCCCTGTTCAAGCAAAGGAAAGTACACAAGTTATAGATGCATTATGTCCCATTCACTGAGTTTTATTTGTAGCTTGGGGTTCTGCAAGTCTACGCATGATTCATAAAGAGAACCAGGATCTCCAGAATGCCAGAAAAAAAAGGCTATCTTAGAGGAAATGCATGACTTTAAAGCAAAATTCTGCTCTGAGCTCCAGTCAGAAAATCACTTGTCAGTCTCTCTAGGGATGAGTCTAGACAAAGAAAGGAAACAGCATGTGGCTTTTATGTGCAGAGAAAAGTAGTAAAGGGAGTTGTTATTTTTTTTTTTTTTTTAAGGAGCTAAAAAACAGCTTTCCAAAAAGGCTCATTTCCTGATATGCATGGACTTGAGCTGCTTGGTGTGCAATACAGCCAGACACGTTTGAAATAATTGATAGGAAATGGATGGGTTGAATGAAGGGCTTTCTACCAAGACAAAGAGATTATTGAGTAGTGATGGGCAAAAGATCAGGTTTTGTTGGTGGGTAAGGAGGTGGGCGTTAAATCTTAGTGATCAGGAGGGTTTCTCATCATCATTTCAGCACATTGGTGTGGAGTGCCTGGGAATTCACTATTTGCCTTCTTATTTAGCCATTGCCTGGGCCAGTAAATGCAATATGTAGAACCTCCTTGTGGGGTCTATACTGGTTAGTCTGCTGTTTGAAATCTTTCCTTGGGTGTTTGCTGCAAAGAAAAGGAGCCCAGAGAATTCAGTATTTTCATGTAAGAGCACGGTCCTAAGAGAGGCAAGGACCGTCTTAAGACTAGAATCCAGGGCACATCTTGTCCAGAGGCAAGAGGCCAAAGTGCACTAAGGAGCAGAAAAGCAGCCAGAGGAATCATCTGTGCTAAGTGCTTTCCATACAGGTCGCTAAGTAATAGCTAAAGGTTGAGGGGGTCTTAGGGACTATAACACAGGTTTGTTTATGAGAAAAATCTTCCTGCAGTCAGAATTAGCTAAATTGACATTAAGAACAAAGCAAAAGAGAGGCAAATGAACCAGGTAGGTTTTTAACCATTGTCCTGATTAAAAAAGGTCCCGGTGAAAGGGTCCAGCAGCATGGATGAAAACAGAGCATTAAATCAGAAATTGAGAGAGAATGAGGATCCCACGTGGTACATAAGTGATTCCAGATAGATGGCAGAAGAGGGATCCCAGAGGAGAAACACGGTGCAGTTTTCTGCTAATGGCCTCGGTTTCAGACTTGTGGAGTCTGTGGTAGCTGGTAAAATATGAAGGTATAGTAATCTAAAAGGTGGTTGGAATCAGTCTCAAGGTAGAGTTTTAGAAGTTGCCAGTATGTCCTTGAATGGATTGTTTGTCATATGAATACAGAAAGCATTATACAGAGAGTGTAACTTGAGGAAAAGAATGGCAAAAAGATGCCTGTTGGGCCAACATCTGAGGAATGAAGGGGTAAGGACTTCGAGGCTGAGTGGGGAGCACAGAAAGGCCAGAGGAAAAATACCTGGATGGGAGTAGTGTGCGATGGAAGTCCAGTTTCAAGAGAGCAGCTGCAGTCAACATAAATAGAGAGGACAGGAGGAAAATGCTGGCAAAATCCCAGGAGGTCATAGAACAGTGGACAGAAGCCAATTGTAATTTGGCTAAAAGCATATGGATGAGAAAGCAGACAAAGCAAACACCGGGTTACCTTTTGATGTTTTTTGTTTGTTTGTTTGTTTTTTGTTTTTTTTTTTTTTTACCATCTTTTTTACCCCTAAAAACTCTGCTGTGAAAGAAAAGAAGTGTGAGGAAAAGCCTGGCAGATAAAGGAGCTTAAGGGATAATTCTGAAGCCTGGAGAAGGATAGTTGGAACACTGCATTAGGAATCATGTGTAGTGAATTGTGATCGTTGGTCTCTGGTGTGTCTGGCACTGAAATAGTATTGGACTTACAGAGTTCTTTGTTCTAAATACTCTTCAATCCCTTATTTTACAAATGGGGATTCAGCCAGGCAGTGGTGGCCCACATCTTTAATCCCAGCATTCAGGAGGCAGAGGCCACCAAGGCCATAGAGAAACCCTGTCTCAAAACAAAAACAAACAAACAAACAAACAAAAAACCAAATGGGGATTCATCTACCTTTCCTGGCTGCTTTGGAAGGTGGATCCTATTATTATCCCCAGTTTTCTTTCAGGGAAACTATGGTATAGAGACATTAACCTGCCCAATTTGTCTTCTGCCTATTTCATTAAGCTTATGCACTATACTCAGCTTCCAAAACAATATTTAAGAATAGGTATCGTCAAATTTGGTTGAGAGGTGGGGCTCAGTTATCTTATGAAGGGGAATTTGTTCAGAGAATGCATGTCTTTGCATTTTTTTTTCATATCTGTAAGAGGTCAATGTCTTGCTTGATTCAGCAAAACATGTCAATGCAAAGCAATACAAAAACTAGTCTTGAAAACAGGTTTAGTGGGGAACAGCAATACGAAGTTATTCTGTGTTGACAAAGCCAAAGTGGTCACAAACATCAAAATAAAACATTGGTGAGTAATTCAGAGTATAAATGTAGGAGAGTAGGACGTACGAGAGTCGGAGAGAGAAATGATGGATCTGGAATGAGGCTGAAGAAAAGATAACCATAACCGTGCAGTTGGATAAAGCTTGAAGTTGCTTGCAGGCCCTTGGTAGTAGAACACAAGAAAGACTGAGCACACTTTTGGATATTGTTCATATCAGTGGCTTCAGCTTTTCCTAGCTTTATGCCTTCATTCAATCAAAATGTTATTTGCAATTTTACAAATATAAAAAAATGTATAAACCTCTTATTCTACTGTTATCATCATCATTATTTTGGTATTTTTTTTTCCTGAGATAGGGTTTCTCTGTGTAGCCCTGGCTGTCCTGGACTCACTTTGTAGACCATGCTGGCCCCAAACTCACAGAGATCTGCCTGCCTCTACCTCCCAGAATGCTGGGGTTACAGGTGTATAATAACAGTAGCCACGTCCAGCTACTGTTAATATTATTAACACTCACAGAAGTTTCCTGATTTACATGAAGCATCTCATTTTATCATTAACAAAGCAATATATAACAAACAAACAAACAGAAAACCTGGAAATGGCTCACTGTTATCCTCACTTTACAACTAAGGTAACAGGCTTGGCTAAGGTCACAGACCTAGACAACAGCAGAGTTTAAACATGGAATAGATAGTTTGACTCCAGACTCAGGGTCTTAATCCATCCTCCGTGCTGCCCTTTCTAGTACCCTGATCTCTCCACTTCCCTCACAGTTTCCCAGATTACCATGTTTAAGAATGGGAAACTAATCCATTGAAAACTTTAGTCTCTAAATTTTCCTGCTGTTTGGGTCTTGGTTCGTCAGAACCCATACTGGGAAAATGTGAACCTAGTAAAAAAAATATAGTTCGAATACATCTCAGTGAAGGCAGAAAAGCTCCCCCTTTTAATTTAACGTTGGTGACTAGGTCATTAAATACATTTCTTTAACTTTTAATATAAAGGGTTATACCCTTGTATGTAGCTTCCATTCAAGATATTTATAGGCTGAGGTTATTGCAGAGAAAGACTTGATTAGCTGTTAAGCAAGGCTCTTAAGACAACGAGTGCATGTATGACTGTTTCCATTATTTATCTATCTTTCTTTCCAATGCTGTACTCACTTCTGGGGTACAAAAATCTAGACAGTATTGTACTGATGTCATTTGGTGGAGATAATAATTCGGGTGAAGGCCAGCAGTGAGAAACAGACACATAGGATGACACTGGTTGGCTTTCATCTGGAACCTTAAAAAAACAGACAGACAATAAAAGGTGTCCTTGCTTCCCAATGCCTCCTGTTTCTGTAGCATTGCTGAGGCACGCTGATGGGGGTGCTCTCCAGGGAACATACCAACATGAGCTCTGAACCGCTTCCCTGCCCCCACTTTTCTTTGTCTCAATCCACACCAAAAGCTATAAAAGTTATATCTAAGCATGTCCAAGCCACTATTAAATTAATTTCTTCTGTGTTTGATATTAAAATGGAGTGGGAGTTCTCAAGAAAAAGATTTTCTCTAAACATTAATCCATGGCAGGAATCTCCCATGAATTTTGGATGGTTTGAAATCACCCAACAACCCCTAGATGTAAGCTCGCTGGAAAATTATGAAATGAAAATTTATACCCTTTTGGATTCTTGAACAAATGTCTCCACTTCCCTGCATTTTGTGGGCTATTCTTATGGTGCATTTATACATTCAGGTACTATTAGATGTCTATTAGAGGTTTGTTATCCTTAAAGTTGTACTTTCTCACTGATTTTTTCCCCCTACAGGCTCAATTTGAACTTAAGACATTTCACATCCGGGGTGAGCATGCATTAATAACAGCAAGTCTTGAAGAAACCATTGAAAATCTCAAGCAACAGTTAGAAAACCGCTGGGGAGGAAGAGGGTGTGAGGAGATGAGAGATGCATGCATCTCCACTGATGATGACTGCTCTCCGAAGGCCTTCAGGAATGTGTGTATTCAGACAGACAGACAGACATTTCTCAAGACCTGTGATGGTGAAAGCAAGACAGCCAGAAGCAATCAGATAGTGCCGAAGAAGCTGACTATCTCACTAGCCCAGCTCTCTCCATCAAAAGACAGCAAGGACACCCCACCTCAGATGAGAGAAGGCATCTCATGTAGTCAGCAGAAGACATCGCCTCCCCCACCCCCGCCACCACCTCCTCCTCCCCCTATCCCTCCCCCTCCGCCTCTCCCACCTGGACTTGGACCTTTGCCACCAGCACCACCCATATCACCTGTCAGTGCTGGATCACCTCTACCACCTCCTCCACCTCCTCCACCACCTCCCCTGCCTCCAAGTGCTGGGCCTCCCCCGCCTCCTCCCCCACCACCACTTCCTATCAGTGGAAGTCTTCTTCCTCCTCCACCACCACCGCTGCCTCCCTTAGGACTTGTACCACCACCTCCTCCTGGACTGTCCTTTGGACTCAGCTCTACTTCCAGCCAGTGTCCCCGTAAACCAGCCATTGAGCCCAGCTGTCCCATGAAGCCTTTGTATTGGACTAGAATACAAATAAGTGATAAGAGGTAAGCTCTCCCTTGACCCGCTGTCAGTTACAAATTCACAGGATTCTTCCAAGTGATGCTTTATTATTGATGGTTCAGTATTTACATTGGGTAGCACCCATTCTCAAAGACAATATGATGAATGCCTTGGATACACAAGCTTACAACATCTGGGGTAGACTGTCTTTGCCTGGTCCTCTCTAGGAGAAGGAATGTGTTCAGGTTCAGATTCTTCCTCAAGGTAAATGTTCCATTTCATGGACCGGAGAAGAGGCCAGGTCTACCTAAGCTAGGGCTGTCTCCATCACCACTCTATCAGCTGAGTAATTATAAAGAAACGGGAGCAGAGTCCTCACTTGTTGGTTCACCGAGGATTTCTATATCTTTCATGATACTCATTCTTACTGTTTGATAACCTGCCTTGTGGTCTTGTGTTCATCTTTTTATTTTTCTATCACTATGATAAATTGCTGAGAAAAATGTGGAAAACTTTATTTTGGCCTATGGTCTCAGAGATTTCAATCCATCACAACCAGTGGGGTAGGTCATCTCCAGCTGTGAAGAAGAGATACAGAATACAAGAGGCTTTCTCCTTTTATTCCATCTGGTCCCTGAGCCTGTGAAATAATGTACTCAGGGCTGATCTTTCCACCAACGGCATGCATCCCTAATCTCTTAGAGGCTTCTTGGTGAATCTGGATATTTAACAGTTATGTGCATGCTTTCATTATTTATGAAAATACTGAGATATGGCTGAGTTTTTCATTGTTTAGATCAGAAGAGAGTCTTAAAATAAGAGTCTTAAAATATACTCCTCTTTCTTTTGAGTTCTGGCTCATAAGACTTCTTTTACATCTTTCTTCTTTATTGACCCCTAGAGAAAGTACCCATGTGTGGCGAGCTGATGTGGAGAGCACCTTCCATTTGTATATATTATTGAGCTGGGTCTCTAAGTCAGAAAGTCATGATGTCTTGGAAACTTCACCAAACAAGTTACAGTTAGATTTCTTGCTTTATTTCTGAATCTCTCAGAAGGACAATGAGAGAGATATTGACTTATTCCTTGACCACTTTCTAGTTTTGAAATTAATTTGTTTGCAAAATAAATAACAATAATAATAATTTAAAACTACACTTCTAAGCTTATCCCCCAATTTAAAATTTTCAGGCTTATGTAAAATTTTGCTTCCGGTAGGCAAGATAACTAAACAAAATAACATATAGTTCACAATTATTAAAAAAAAAAAAAAAAAGGAAACCACAATAAGAGCAGGGGAAATGCCACCAAACTAAGCATGTGACAAAGCTAATGATTGTACTTCATTTTGTTCCCAGTCTTCTTGCCAAAAAAAAAAAGGTCAAGAGTTTAGTTATAGATATTTCTAGATATATTTATTTAATGCTGATAAAATAGCTGTACGATTTTCCAAATGAATTGGGGAAAAAAAAAAAGATGATTCTAAAATAGTTTCCAATGCTAACACTATAAAGTGGTAATATCCCGTTTCTCATTTGAGCTCTGGCTAGTTCCTAAGATGGTTTCCCAGAATATTTGAGTTGTGTTTCTTTATTAGTGCTCTCAGCTCCTTGTGCCGTCCCCTACAGTGATGGATCCCACCTGTGGGCCTGCACTAGTCCGTTCTGGCAGCGCATGTAACTGCCTCACACCTGTTTCTCACTTGCATGTCTTCACTTCACCCCCCAAGAGACTTCATGAGCAACTAGTGCCGTAGATATAGCATCATAAACGTAAGGTCTGGGAGGACAGGCCCTTCATCCGCTGTTCAAGGGAGGGTAAATGAGATTTGGGGAAACTCATTGATTTTCCTCTGTAATTTCCCACTTTTTAAAATGGAAAACAGTCAAATGCTCATGCTTTCATTAGTTACATTGGTTGAGCCAGCTCTGCAAACACCATCAATCCAGTGTTTCACTCTCAAATCAAATGAAAAGTCGATGAACAGGATATTAGGAGTGACTGGTTGGGTAGATGTGTCAGCCTTGTCCCCTCTGTGATGTGTTAGGACCTCAGCAGAGCCGCTTCTTGCCAATGTCACACATTCAGGCTCTTTTCATCGAGGGCCTCTCAAAAAAGAAAAAAAAAAATGCCTCTCAGCACAACTGCTTTGAGTATGAAAATCATGACTCAGTACCAAATCATTTAATATTATAACAGATGTATTTATTAAATGTAAAATAGACTGCATTTTTATGTTATATGAAGGCAGCTTTATTTTTAGTTTTAACTGAAACAAAAGTATATATTGAAACAAAGGTAAAATACTGGTCGGTGTCTTGATCATGCCACGCCTGTATGCTTGAAATATCACAGTAGAAGAAATTTACTTTTTGTTTCTGTGGCATTAATAGTAACTTGAGAAAGCATCTCAATTCCACCCATGTGATGAAAGCAAACGACACATTCCAAACGAGGGAGCCTACAGGGGAAGCCTGTACACTCCGGCTCTTGGAGGGGGTTCCGACCTACTTGATTTCTGGTTGCTTCTTGTTCTCTGCTTCATAATAGAATGAACCTATTTCCAGGGAAGAAAACACAAATCCCCCATGGATGCTTTAGCTGGAATCACCCCGGGGTGCTGGTGGACGGTGAAGCTATATGGTTTTGTGTGGTGGTGGTGTCTCTGGTGGGATGCTGTCAGTGTACCAAACAAGCAGCTGACGAGTCACATATTAAAGCCCCTAGACTAAGATGATTTGACTTAATCCTGAAAGCTGTATTTAAAATCCTCAGAGGGAGTCACATCTTCACCTTACTGTTCCATTTTCAGTCTTCTGAAGAATTCCCTTGGGCCTGTGAGATGGCTCTGCAGGGTAGGATGCATAAAGCCAACCCTGGTGGTTTAAATTTGATCCTATGGATCCTGGTGGTGGAAGGATAGAACCGACATTGTCCTCTGACCTGTAGCTGTACACCATAGCATAAATATCCTTTCCCCACATACATAGATCTCCCATACATATAAACACTAAGAACAAGTAAAATATAATATGTTTTTTAAAAATGACCTTGCCCGTATATAGAATTGCTTATCCCTTCTGCCTCCCTATAATGCCATTTTTGCCAGCTTTACAGGGTATGGTTGAAAGAGGAGCAGTTTATGGCCCCAGACCTCACCTCCAGAAATTCTGGTCCTAAGGGCCTTCTCCAGACCTCTTATACTGAACTAATTATCATCATGTTTTTTTGGATGTTTGTGTGAAATTGTGGGTTAGAATATTCTGTTACATATTTTGACTTTGAAACTGCTTGACATGAAAAGCTTTTATCTGACCTTTACAAGGTTTTTTTATTTTTCCTTAAGTGAATCAGAGGAAGATTTCATCATCATATTATACTCTTTCCTGCTGTTTCTCACAGTTAACTTGATGCTTTCTCTTTTCAAGCCAAGACGCCACACCAACTTTGTGGGACTCCTTAGAAGAACCTCATATTAGGGACACCAGTGAATTTGAATATTTATTCTCCAAAGACACAACTCAACAGAAGAAGAAGCCCCTATCAGAGACCTATGAGAAGAAGAACAAAGTGAAAAAGGTACCGTGCAGTTGTGATTGTAATCAAAGGCCCATGGGAATTCACTATATCTTGCTGGCTGGTGCCCTGTCACCAGAAAATGATCCAAGTCATGGATGGTTAAAGCATCTAGTTAGTTTAAGAAGCATGGGCCTTCTGTTTTGGTTTCATCTTCTGAATTTTTAAATCTTATTCTCAACCATTGTCTTAGTTAGGGTTACTATTGCTGTGATAAAACACCATGACCAAAAGACTTGAGGAAGAATGGGTGTATTATGCTTATGCTTCCTTATCATTGTCCCTTATTAAAGGAATTGGGGACAGGAACTCAAACAGTACGGGAACCTTGAGGCAGGAGCTGATGCAGAGGCCAAGGAGGAGTGCTTCATAGTGGCTTGTTCCTTATGGCTTGCTCAGCTGCTTTCTTATAGAATCCAAGATTAATAGCCTGCAGTGGCCCCACCGATAGCTGGCTCGGCTGTCCTACATGGATAACTAATTAAGAAAATGCCCTACAGACTTGCCAGCAACTGGATCTTACAGAGGCATTTCCTCAATTGAGGTTCCCTTCTCTTTAATGACCCTACGTTGTCGTTGTATCAAGTTGACATAAAACTAGCCAGCACAACTGTAGTCATTAATTCTATTGAAAAATGTGTTCAAGTTGCTGTTAGTGAAAGCAGTTTGTGTGTTCCACCCAAAAAAATAGATCTCCTAGGAGCGCAGAGATCACGAAATTAGTAAAGTGCTGTGCCACCAAGCCCAAGGACCTGGGTTTGATCCCAAGAGGATCAAAAAAGCCAGGTATAGCAGCACTGGGTACAGTAATATGAGGATTGAAGGCACAGAGATAGGAAGATCCCTGGTGCTTGCTGACCAGCCAGTGTGGAGAACTCCGGGTTCGGTGAAAGACTGTAGCTGAAGACACCCACTGACACAACACCTGGCCTCCACATGCACACAGGTTTATAAGCACTTACTCATGCATGCATAATGTCTACATATACATGCAAATATATATCATTCGTAAATATATTCACAGCACCAATGTAGTAGAGTCTGTGGCACAAGGCAGTGTTCTAGGCCTGTGCTAGGAGGTGCTAGAATGTAGCCATTTCAATAAGAACAATTAAGCAAAATGGAATGTTCAGTCCTTTAACTACGCTAGGTACTTTTCCAAAGTAGCTACTAAATATGGCAACACAGTAAGTTCTATTAGACAGCTCTTTGTAAATATTAGCAATATGTGGGATGGGGGAAAACTAACCCTAAAATGGTCATTGCCTCGTGGAGTTTAACAGTCATTAATACAAGCAAAACTTGGCAATCCTACAGTAGAGCAAACAGAAAGGATTAGCACAGGCAAGGTGTGAATGGGGCCTACAGTTTTAAATGTGGTTTTCAAGGCAGGTCCCATTGGAAAGATGGCTGCTGTGTAAACACATGGGTGTTTAAAAACCATAAGCTACTAGTAGAACAACTTTACCATCCTCAAGTAATCAGGCAGATGTGGGGTTCAGTCATACCTCAGTGTGTGCCCCAAAGAAAGGTACCAGCCCTTGCCCTCTCCTAATTCCTTAACTGTAGCACAAGATAACATCTGTTGTTTAGTAAGTCCCCCAAAGGCTCGCTTGGGTCCCAGGATGGTTTTACTGGAATCTTTAGGGTATAGTGCTCAGCAGAAGGTCCTTAGGTCACTGGGAACATGCCTTCAAGTGGGGTGCAGAACTTTTGCCTCTCCTCAGTACCAGATCATGGGGTAGAAAGAGCAGATGGGTCTGCATGTTCTGCTGCCTGAAACACTGCCTTTGCCAAAGGCCTGAAGCAAAAGCGACACCAGATTTTGACATAGGACATACAGAATAATGGGTAAAAATAAACCTTTTCTCTTTCTAAGTTATTTTCCTCGGGTATCTTGTTATTGTGTGTGAAAGCTGACTAATAGTCACGCATCATGCCCTTCTGAGATAATGAAATGAGTTCATATTGTACATAGTTCATGGTATGTGATCAGCCCACATCCTGTGATGGTTACTGTCATGATTGCTATGGTCACTGCCATTGCTGCAGTTCCTTTGCAGTCACATTTTGTTAATAGCAGAGTGGGGCTAATAGCATAGTGAGCCCTGGTTCAGTTGCCAATTGGCACCGTGAACTTGGAGTGGTTGCCTTCTTTCCTGAATTTCCTCTTTCTCATAAAATATGATGATCAGTACCAAGGCTACTTGACTAGTAAGGGCATGCTGTCAAATCTGTGGGGATCTGAGAAAGTTGTAAGTGTGTATCGGATGGTGTTGCTGTCATCAATATTCCTTCTTAAATTATGTGGTGGGTTTCATGCGTCAGTTCATACACTCTATGCCACAACAAACATAACTATATTACATAAAATGGGATGCAACTTACTAAGTTGCCTCATGGACCTAAAACCATGATCAACAATTTTCATCTGTCAGGTACAATAGAAGTATTTTATCATGAGAAAAATGTGATCCCAATAATTAGATATGGTAGTGTATATTTTTTGTTTTGTTTTGTTTTTCTGAGACAGGGTTTCTTTGTGTAGCCTTGGCTGTCCTGGACTTTGTGTAGACCAGGCTGGCCTTGAATTCCCAGAGATCCTTTTGCCTCTGCCTTCCAGAGTGCTGGGATTACAGGAGTGCGCCACTGGGCTCAGCTTTATTCCTTTTTTAAAACTTTTAATTATGTGCACTTGTATGTATTTGTGTGTGGGCTTCTGTGTATGGATGTCCATACCTGTGGAGGCTGGAGGAGAGCCTTGTGTCCCCTGGAGCTGGAATTATAGCAGTTGTGCGCTGTCTAACATGAGTGCTAGGAATCCAACTCAAGTTCTCTGCCAGAGCAGCAAGTGCTCTTAACCACAGATCTATCTTTCTAGTCCACAGAGTGAATCCTTTAAAAGTATATATTACATGGAACAACTGGGGTTCTTATGCAAGAGCAGTGCCAGACAAGAAGTCACTGACAGACTATGAATGTATTCCAGGAAAGTTAGGTTCTTACAGACGCTATGTGTATGCGCATGTGCCCTGTAATTAGGCTGACTTTTTAGATGCCATTGTTACTCTATAAGAAAGGCAGAAGAAAATTCCCCACTTTCCAAAAACAGCCTCAGTTTATCTCTGTTGGCAAGGGTTCTCTAACTAATGGAAACTCCCAAGAATTGTCTTATGCACTACTGTAGTAAATTCTTCTGAATTCTACATTTCTTCTTCAATTATGTTGCTCTTTTTTTTTTCTCACTGGATGTTATGGTAACATGTTGTTTTCCCCTAAAATGAATTATTTCTGTTTTGGTAAGTGAATATTTGTTTTCAAATATGTTAACATTTGATCATTCATTTGAGTTTCTTATCTCCTAATTGTGTGCCTGTTCAACAGTTGATTTTAATTAAGACAATTAGTCCTTGATTATTTGTTTTGTTGCTCTGGCTGAAGAGAAAATGTGCTTCCTTTGAACTCTCCAAGCTCTCTCCTTGGTGAGGTTCCATCACCCCATAGAATCTACACGCACGTCTGTTATGTTTGAGGGTTCACTGCAAATGGAGCCAAAAAATCTGGGTCCAGTGGTCTTCACAGGTCAGGGGAGCGATGTTTGGAGCTTTCAGTGAACTTTGTAGCCTACCTTAAATTGAGGTTTTCATGTTGTAAAGGAAGTAAAAAAGCTAAATCAATGCCAGAAGACTGCAAACCTGCTCCTTTGAGCCTGCACAGCCTCCATGCCTGTGGCCAGATTCCAGACATCAAGATGGATCCCTAGGTCTCTTCTAGAATCAGATGTTTGTTTTCTTTTCTCCTGAAGTGAAGATGAAAGTGGCTTTTTAGAGGATTTTCAGCTTTGGGGGCCAAATCCTTCAGCATAATGGTGAGATGGTCCCCACATGAGAAGACTATGAGAACACTTGCCAAGTAGAAGGAGGGGTTTTTTTTTTTTTTGTTTTGTTTTGTTTTTGTTTGGTTTTGTTTTAATATTGCCTGAACTGGAGAGAGAACCATGTGTGTTGGATATTGAAGCATCCGGCTTTGTGAATCTTTGGAGGAGGGGCTCAGCCAACATGGAGGCGGAAATGTACAGATCTCTTAAGTAGACCTGGTGCCTTCCACATGTATGCTTCAGAAAGGATGGGCTTTATTGTCGAGTCTGCTAAACTCTCGGGTGAGACTTTCTAACCTCAGCCTTTAAAATGGGTGTTTGCATTTCCCACTGTTGATTCTGTCTTGCACTAAGATAGATATGGATTCTCAAACTGAGCAGGAATCTTGTTTTACAATGTGTAGTTGAAGGATTAGAAAGAAACCCACTCATAATGTAGTTCCGTTCTCTCATTAGGACATAGAAACCAAAGCTGAATCTGGCTTTGCACATCTCTAACTGGGAGGATGTTAACAATAATGAGCATTGGAGAATATCCACAAGTATTTCAGCATATGTCTATGGTTCCTTTTTTAAGTCACCACACTGTTGATAGTCACAGTTTTCACTGAGATGACTGAGTTGAAGTTGATGAATAGGAACATCCATTGCTACAGGAGCCAAAACGCAGCTACACTTGATAAACTGTTTCTTTCATTGTGAGATTATCTAAAGTGTTCCTTAGTATTCAACTACAAAAAAAAAAAAAAAAGAATTATTCAAACTCCTGAAGAAAAATATATGCCCTATGTACAATTAATGCAAAGAAATACATAGATTTCAAGTGTGTTATTTCCCTTGAGTCAGCCCATTGCATTTTACTGATTAATTACAACAAAAAATTGTAGCACGAAAAATTGGATACTCAGGTAGTTTCCATCCTGTCTTCTTACATCCGGCCCATCAAGCCCAACAGTAACAAAACTTAGAGCAAGAGCTCAGAACACAACAATTGATAATGTCACCACCACTTGGTATAATCTTATTTCTTTATTCAGAGCAAATTACCTTCCCACATCAACTTTTTTCTATAAAATTGAGAGTATCAACTCATTAGCATGAGTATAGTAGAAACAAAAGGAAATTG